TCATCTACAAATATGTTAACACACAACTAGAAAGGTTGAGTTCGTTCTCTCATAAATTCTTTATTGAAACTCTTCCTAAAAGTTGATCTTCTGAATATTTTCCATTGTTAAATAAAAGTTATATTAAACCTGATTATATTCAAAATGACAAATTGGTTTTTTTTTCTATTTCAAACATTATTAAGCAACTTACCGATCTAAACCCCTATAAGTCTTCTTTCTACTTACAAAAATCTTTCATAAATTCTTTAATTCTGGAATACTAACCATTCTCTGGAAATTAGCGAATTTTGGTTTGGTCTTTAAAAAAACGGAAGATAAATTACTTGCTGAAAACTATCGACCTATTTCACTAACCTCTGTTGCCTGCAAAATCTTCGAAAAACTTGTTAAAAACGAAATCTTAAAACGCATTAACGATAATAACGATAATGCAAAATGACATGACTTTCTTTATCATAGTTCATGCGTAACTAATCTAATAGAGAGTTTTGATATTGTTTCATCTTCTATAATATTTCACCAGTTTATTGATTTAATTCTCGATTTTGCTAAAACGTTTGACTCTCTTCCTTACAACAGACTTTTGTTAAAACAAGAAAATCCGGACCCGGATTTAATACGGGTCAAAAAAGTTCTAGTGCACAACTACCACGTTTTATTTGTTTTCAATAAGTTACAGAAAATTGTAGAAACTAACGATATTAACCTCATTAGAGATCTATATTTACTATTTTCTCTTGTGTTTTTTGAGTGTTATATGTGCACATAGCGTAAAAAAATGAATTTATTCAAAGTTGGCTTATTTAAATATTTTGGCTCTTATAATTTCAAAGCATTGAAACTTCATTCTGTTCTTTCACTGAAGCCATCGTTATTTCATTTGATATGCCGGCAAAATTTAAAAAAAATTAAATAAATTAAAATAAAAACTGTTAGCGTTATCCAGATCATATTTTAAAAATGCGGAAAGTATGCGTCTATTCATTTTTATTTGCGTGTTTATTCATCCTTATATGCGTATTTATTCATTTTTATATGCGTTTTAAAAAAGGTAAAAAAAATGACTTTTCTACCAGATGGAATGTTGTTGTTGCAAACATATTAAGTGTTGTTGCAAACATATGTTGTTATTGCAAACATGAAAAGTTGTTGTAAACAAACTATAAATTTCATTAAAGATATGTTTTGGGTATAGTGAATTTCCAGTCCATGTGGCTGTAGCAGATTAAACACTCATACTGCTGGCTTCGGCTATCAAGTAGCTATGTATTGGGCTACCCGCCCAATACATAGCTACTATACAGCATGCCACTACATTACTTGCTGTATAGGTACTACATAGCTACCATAGCTACCATAGCTACCATAGCTAGCCCGTTGCCCACAACATAGCTACTGCATAGGTATGTCTTTTATTATTATATGTATTTCCTTTTATATAAGATATAATATTCAATATGTTAAATAAATTTAATGTAAATATATCAAAACTTAGTGATATAATATTCAAAATTTGGTTAAGAAAAATTGCATGATTTTTGCGATATCAAATCAAAAATTTAAAACAATTTAATTTGACGTCAACTAACTAATAATCGTCACTAAGGTCATTAACTTAGACATAACCAATTACACGTTAGCAGATTAAAATAAAACTTCTACTATGGATGTAACTCTTTATTAATTTTCATACAATATTTCAACGGATTATAGATACCCTCGTTATCAAGTATATACATATATTTATAAAAAACCATTAAAAACAAAATAAAAACAAAAACTAATCAACGCAATAGTTTCTTTTCATTTAAATACCGAAACATAGGTGCTAATTAATTTTGTGCTTTAACCAAAATACAAGAACATTTAGGAGGCAAAACAAAAAGACTCAACTATGATCCAACTCCACAAATCATTCGTAAAGTTCAAAACACATTCAGAAAACTAAATAAAGCAGGTCGATTTACGGTTAAAGAATATAAAAATCATTACCCGAGTGATGCTATACCACTTCGTTTGTATGGAGTCATAAAAGCCCACAAACCTGAAAAAAACTACCCGATCCGAGTTATCGTAAGCACTATTGGAACGGCTACATACAAAATTTCTAAATTCCTACCTGACATGATACAACCCATCCTCATTAAGAATATTATACATTTAAAAAACTCTCAACAATTTGTTAACTTAGCTAATTCATGGGATATTGACAAAGATGATATCATATGATATCATTAATTTATATCCTTCAGTCCCAGTAATGGAAGCAATAATTATCCTTATTGAGAGGTTGAAAAATGATCCTAGTTTTACATCAAAATTTACCTTTGATGAAATAAAAGCACTTTTAGATATATGCCTTTTGCATTATTATTTTTATTTGAACACGACATTTAGAACTAGAAGATTCTAGACCTATTGGTTTAGGACTTATGGTTGTAGTTGCGGAGTGTTTTCTACAGTTTCACGAAAGTAATGCTATGGCACAAGCGATTTCCAATAATATTCAGTTAAAGTCATTTAAAAGATATGCCGATGACTCCCATTCTCGTTTTAACTCTACTGAAGATGCGTTTAGGTAATATTAAAAAAAAAAATTAATATTACTTAAAATTATTACATAAGTTATTTAATATATTACATAAAAATATTCAGTAATGGAAATCGAAAATGAAAATAACACGCTAAACTTTCTTGACAATACTGTTATTAATAATAAATCTGGTACGTACGATTTTAAAGTTTACCGTAAAGATGCAATAACTAATATCCTAATCAAACCTAACTCATGCCATGATCCAAAAATTATAAACGGAGTTTTCAAAGGTTTTGTTCATAAGGCAATCAATTGTTTAATATTATTATCAGAGCATTATACTTATGCTCTGATAATAATATTAAACAAGAGTTATTATTTCTAGTTGATGTTTTTGTAGAAAATGGTTATAAAAAAACAAGCCTGGAAAATATTATAAAAACCACTAAAGAAAATTTACATAATAAAAAACAAAATGTTGAAACTCAACATTCATCAATTGCATCAAATAATATTGTCTCTTTACTGTGGATTCCAAGAATTACCCCGAAGTTAAAAAAAGTTTTCAAAAAAGCAGGTTATACACCAGTCTTTAAATCTTCAAAAAATTTGCAACATATACTTACCACAAAAAGTAAACCTTTTCTTCCTATAAATTCTTACCCAGGTGTGTACAAACTTGAATGCTCCTGCAAAAAATGTTATATTGGTGAAACAAAATTAAAAATCTCATCTCGCATTTACCAACACCAAAAAAATACATATGAAGGAAAATGGAATTACTCAACCTTAGCGGAGCATTCAAAAAATTGTCATGGTAATTTTTCATGGAACAATAAAAATACTTTAAAAGTAGAAGTTAATAAATTTACAGAAAAGTGAGGGAAGCCCTTGAAACACAACGCCATGAATGCTCACCTTCGGACGGCGGTCTAAATCAGGATGACAAAGGTTACGTCACAACTTCCTTTTGGAAACCTTTGTTCCGGTATTTAAATGAAAAAAAGCTATTGCATTAATTAGTTTTTGTTTATATATATATATATATATATATATATATATATATATATATATATATATATATATATATATTTCAAATTACATCCATAATAGAGTTATATCCATAACAGAAGTTTCATTTTAATTATATTTTAAACTCTTTAATAATATCTTTTAAAATTTACGTTAGCAGATTTTGTTTTAGCCTATTACATTCGTTATAACAATTGTAACTAAGCGCATTAAACGTTAATTATTAAATTGGAGTATTAATGTTATGATTTTTTTTATAGTCTAAGAGCCCGTGGCCGCCACACCTACGTTTTTTTATAAAAGCTGAAAATTTCTTAGCGCATACTCATAACACAAGTAGAAACGATGGTCAACTATGTACCTTAGATCGTGGGGGCTTTAACTAGTAACAGGTACTAAAGATTAAAAAAAAGTACTGGTTTCTATTAGCATTTGATAACAGTTAGAATCTAAGATAAAAATCGTAACAATAATGAAGTTAAAAAATGGGTTCAATAACTATTTTGTTTTTTACTTTTATTTTGAACGAAATAGCTATCAAAACCATTTTTATTACAATTTTATTTTATTTACAATTATTTTATTATTATATTACATTATTATATAAAAATTTTATTTTATATTATATAAAAATTTTATTTTGTACTATATTATATAAAAATTATATTATTATTTCATTTACAATTGTTTTATTATTATATTGCAATTTTATTCTATTATAATAACTTCATTTTCATTACAATTTTCATCTTAGATTCTAATTGTTATTAAATGCTAAAAACAAGTACTTTTTTTGACGCAATCAAACTGTTTTTAGTTAATGTAAGTAACTAAAGTTATATGTAAATAAGGTTTTCGCTAGAAAGTTTATAGATATAAAACTGACAATATTGCTATTTATTTATATATTGTTAATAACAATTTTTCAAAGTTTAAGAGTGTCTGGCAAGGGGTTACCATCATGATGAGTGTCTGGAAATGGATGGCATGATTTCTAATCCTATTACGAAGAAAATTGTTTGAAAATTACGCTTTATAGTTTGACGTAGTTTAGCCGGTATTTTAAAAACCTTTGGAACCTGTTACCAGCCAAAGCCACCACGATCTAAAAAACATAGATAACTATTGTTCCTACTTGTTTGGAAACACACGTTGAGAAATTTTTAGCTTATATAAAATAACCCTTCGGGCATTTGTTTTTGAAACTTACGTTCTAAATGTCTTTTGAACGTTTTTTAAATGTTTTTTAAACGTTTTTTACATAAGAATATTTAGAAGACGTTTAAAAGACATATAAAATACATTTTGAACGTAACTTTTAAAAACAAATGCCCGCTGGAAACGTAGGTCTGGCGGCAACGGGCGCTTGCTCTATTAATTAAGGAGGAAAAAATAGTAAATATTCATAAACATTATTTTTTCTATCTAGATTCGCTTTCAACACCCACAATGACGACATGTGAGATTTTATTATTGTTCTTATTTTTTAATTCTAATTAACTCCAAACAAAACTGTAAATAACCACTTTTAAGTTGGGAGTTACTAGAAAACAAAGAATAGAGTTGAAGAGCAAGGAAACGGTTGACGGAAGACTTGAAAGGTTGCAGGTTGCTTGAGTTAGGAAAACATGAAGATGAGAGAGAGTTACAAAGGGCTGAAGTGGGGAAAAAAACTAAACGAATAAAATTTTTTAGAGAATGTTTCGACAAATACAGTATAAATAAAGATGTGGCTATTATATTATAAATAAAGATGTGGCTTTGTTGATTATGATTTTTATATATCTTTTTTATTTATCATTTTTTATTTTTTATAATATACTTTTTACTATTTTTATATATTTTTCTCAATTATAGAGAAATAAAAAGTAAATGCTCATATGCATTGTTTTTTCTATATAGATCCGTTGTCGACGCCCATAACGCCCGCATGTGAGATTTTTTTTTTTAGTTTTTGTATATGCTAGTTATTTTAAATTTTTTTCGTTTTGTTACTATATATCTTTTACTATTTTTATATACTTTTCTAAATTACGGGGAGAAACAAAGGTAAATGTTCATTGTTTTTTTTCCATCCAGATCTGTAGTGATAACAACACCCAGCATGTGGGGAATTATTATAAATTTCCCAGAAACACTAATGCCTTGACTTTGTTAACTTATTTATTAATGTTGTATTACTATCTGATTGCGAATATATTATTTACAAATATCAACCTTTTATTTACAAACCACAATCTCAACATATTATATAATTACTTTTAAATAAACGATAATTGCGATAGTGAAATTTTCCAAAGCCTTCCCGAAGGCCCCATCATTAAAAATACATTGATGTTAATGCTAAAATACAACCGCTTATTGCTTTCTAGCGGATTGGAAGACGTCATTCACAACGCCAACCCCAGATTAAAGCTAAGACCGGCTCTAACCAACTATATTAACTTCCATGATATAATCTTTTTTTTCTTCCTCTAAAGTACGTACGCTCATATGGGGAGGGGGGAAGGTCTTTAAAAAGCGTATGAAAGCGTATTGGGGTTAAGCGTATATAAAGCAAAAAACAGGTTTTAGAATTTGTTTTCAATATTACTCATCTCGCGCAAGACTCAATTTTTACGGAATTACTCAAAAGGGTGCCTGAGAAAAACATCCATCCTAAGAAAATACTATTTTTATTAGATTCGTCATTACAACAAATTAAAAAAAAAAACCCTAAAAATGAGTGACTAAGCTTCGATCACGAGCCTTCGATGAGTAATCGCTCGCATTAACCTCTTGAACAAACAAACTTGCAAGAATTATTAATTCTGGATGCAAATGAGATATAAAAAACACCCACACAAATAATACTTATAGTAAATTAATTAAGATAATCTGTTTACGAAGTGTAATTGTTTTTATTAAAAAAGAACTTATATAATTTTATTCACATTCATCACAAATAAATTCCATCCACAGTTGAACAATAATCAACATCACATGTAATTCATGATTAATTAAAACACTGCTCACATGCAATTAATTATTTAAGCTCTTAACCCAATGAGTTTCACAAGAATAACAAAGATAATCATCAGATTTCAAAATACTATATGAAGTTTGAGGTAAATGTAGGTCTTCTGATTGTTTCCTTGGTTTTCGGATTTTGTTTTAACGTTTTTTTTTCTCTTTTCTGAGCATTTTCTGCTTTTTGATTTGCATTAGCAACCTTTTTTTGCTCTCTAGCCAAATCTTTTCAACTTCTTTGTTTAATTTGTATTTCTGTTGCTTGTTCAGCATCATCGAAAACTATGGCATCCGCCGAAGTCATATTGTTGGTCGCTTTATTCTCTTATACCTTTTTGAACTTTTTTTATTAGGAGTTGGCAATAATTGATCTCTGAGCATATTTAAGACTTGTTTAAATCTTTTCCAACTTGTTGAACGACATAATTTAAAATATTTGAATTATGCCGTATAGCTTTCAAGGAAAATTTCACGATTTGACATTCTTGACGGTATGTTTAATGTATTGATATAAATTTTAATGGATAATTGATAAGGTTAAAAAGTTTAACGATCACATTTAAGCGCTATGCTTAAAAGATAAAAGTAAGTGCTTTGCCCTTTCTCGATTAAGAAGTTTTATAACAAATCTTTTAAACAAGCTATTTTATTGTTTATCGCGTATATTTTGTCTAATTTTTAATACTGTCCTTTGATTTGGATGTTTTACTCAAAATACAATGACAACCTTATTATTAGAATTCATAAAAAATTTGATTTGTCTTTGGATGAATTGGTAAAATAAGAAAAATTACCCAAGAATCCATCTTCGAAACTTGCGGTATCTAATGATTGATAATCCCTTAATAATTTAAACCGTGAACTTATGAAGAGCTTGTTTATAAAGAAAATTTTATCATTTCAACTTAGATATTGCAATAAATTGATGCTACCGCCAAAATGTTCTGATCATAAAAGTATTAATAATGATTTATATAGAGCCACCTCGCTCTGGATTTCCCTTCACAATAAAACCTAATAAAAAAAAGTCTCCAGCTGTATAAAAACGATATTTTAAATTGGAATGAGGAAAAATGTTTTTGTAAAATTTGTAGAATTGAAATATATTTATTATTATTACAAACCATGTCATTTTTACAAATTTATAAACTTATTTGTTCATAAGTTTTTTTTTTTTTTTTTTTTAAAACAACTGATAAGCACTTTTTAAATAGTTTTGAAAGTATAGACGACAACTCCGGAGAACACTTCTGCAAAACTACAACAGGTATGTTGTCCAGATCACTAGCTAAAGAAGAGTCTAAGCAGAAAATCATTATAAATACAGAAGCTGTATCTATAATACAAATCTATCATACAGTATGTATCTATAATACAGTATATAATCTATAATGCAAATCTATAATACACCATGTATCTATAATACAGTAATAAAAATGTCAAGCAATGGATCAATCTATTTTGTCGGCAATATTAGGTAGAACGCAACAATTGGAATCACGATATAGTATTGATGAAAAGTTCTTAGCAAACAATTCAGCTTTCTGTTTAAGTGAGGTGAAAAAATTTAAACCGTACAAGAGAGGTGGAATAACAGATTTGCCCTTATTATTGATACTGTTAAAAATTTTCCAGAAGTTACGAGAGCCTAATTTTTGAAATAAAATACGAGATTTCATGACCTGAGAATAACGGGGTTTAGCGTTAGACAAAACATTTTTATTATGGTTTCAAGTAATAGTAAACAGACGTCTGTTTTCTGGAGAATTCTTTTGCTGATCGATATGTAAGTAATAGTTTCGATTGGAAATTGCAGCAGCACAATGTGAAGTAAACCAACAAGAAGAGTGAGGCTTGACTTGGAGTCGTCGAGAGTGAATAAAAGATTTCATGTCAGCCTGAATCCAAGAAGTTATGTTAGAAGCCCATTTATCAGCAGGAAGGCAAAAGATTTCTATTCAAGGACCATCATGAAGCAAAATCACGGAAAGAGTCTCAGTCAACTTTAAGGTAGCTGTAAAAGATATAATGATAAAGAGATTCTAAACAAGATATAAGTCGAGTAGAAAAGGCAAATGATTCGGGTTGTCTGGAAAGAAAATTGGAAAGTTGACTACTTGAGTTAGAGATTGAGAAAGGCAAAAGTTGCGGGCCTGCAGAATCACTGATACTAGAGCCAAGAAGTGTGATGAACATTCAGTGTGATGAACATGTAAGTCACCGACAACAACAGTATTGGCTGATGGATAAAGAGAGAGGGCTTGGTCAATATGATCAGAAATAATATCAAGAAGAATGTAGTCTTGAGATGAAGGAGAGCAATATAGAACAAAAAGAAAGGCGATAGAGTGAAGTGGTGCTAAACAAAAGCACATAAAAGCGTAGTCTGTGGATTCAAACCTAGTTTCCCGACAAATGGGTGAATTCTTACGAATGTAAATACCCAGGCCAAGCATGTAACTATTGGAGTCTTTAAGAATTAAAGAAAGATAACTATTAAAACTAAGATTACAAGATGAGACAGCTGAACTCAAATTAGTCTCACAAAAAGCAAGTATGTCTGGTGAACTTTACAAGAAATAAGACTCAACAGAAGAAAAGTTACTTCGAAGACCACGAATATTATTAAATGATAGATTTAGAGAACTTGATGGTGACAATGGTTTTTTGTGTTTTATAGTTTTTGGCACCTTAGTCATTTTTAAATTTGTTAAAGAACTCAATTCAAAGCATTGATACACTTTTTAACACCCCAAGTAATTGCCTTATTACTATTAATAAACCCTAAGCCGTAACAAAGGGCTTTAAATGTGGCCCTGACAATGCACATCAAAAGTACAAACAGGGACACTATCCATGCACAACATGGCACTGTTAGTACTCTAATACTTTTTAGCTATTGATGGAATCAGCCTCTCTGAGAGCAACCACAGAGTTTGGGAAACCTGACTACCAGTCGGCCTCAGAACCATAAAACTGAATTTTTGAGCTGTACCCTCATTAGAAGATAATAGAATGAGTTGCTTAGCCATAAAAACAGAGATAAAAGCAAAACCCATGCGTTGAGACAATAAGATCTAGAATTTAACATCCTGTAAATAATTTATTATAAATACATCTGCGCCAATAATCTACATCTTCTTCAGCTAATGATGAAGAAGAGATGCGAGGCTGGTCATCTGATAGAATCTGTTTACTCCTTAAGATTTATGAAGATTTTTTTAATTAATAAATTGTTAATGACGATATCTTTTTTTTTGAGAAAAATATGCGCAATATTTCATTTAAGTACGTTGCTTTGCGAGTTGTTAACAATATTTTGGTAACACGCAATTTTTTGATAGCACGCGTTTCCGGAGAACGTTTATTGGACGTCTCACGGACGTCCAGTCGTTCGTAACACGTTCCCCAGACAATGCATGCTCACTGGGTATGAGCTGGCAAACGCCAAAGTAAAATAAATTTTCTAAAGGTTTTTTTTTTTTAACTCTAAGCATATATTTGAAGCAAGACCATCAAGAATTAGAATTTTGAAACCTGAAAGTTTATTTGCGAAAAAACTGTTTTTAACCATAACAAAAAACGTTCGGATTACATAACAGCCTGAATTACAACTGTTACTATGTACTATAATAAATATTCTCGGCACCGCCTTTGCACCAGTCTTTTATAATATGTGGACCTTTATAAATTGCTTGATGAGGTAAATATTTACAGAAAGCGTCAAAACAAGTCAAAATTGTCGTTATTTGCATTTCATTCGATCTCACTAGCTTTTTAGAATTTTTTTTTTCCATTTCTAAAAACAGTTTTGACTTTGGTTTCATTAAATTGCAAACTAGACTCAAGTAGGTATAAAAGCTTAACTGGACGGAGAACAAAAAAAAAGCCAAAAATGAATTTAAACTGCGTTACAATCTTTG